TCATCAGCTCACAAAGGTGCTGTGAGACTGAAGTCAAAAAATCCTGTGTACTAGTGGCCCAGGTGGAATTATCCCCCTCCTACCCCACCCACCGATCCTGTTGTTAGCCCTCTGCTGACTGCAGATAATATCATTTACATTATTCTTGAATGTAAAACAGAAATTCTACAAAGTGTGATATCTACCTAATACTCGAAAATCTACAATCAAATCTAGATCAGGTACCCAGAACCCTACCTATTGTATATGAATATTTATATTATGTAACGATAGCCACCAATCTATTCATGCTTATCTATTTAGATAGGTCATTTACCTTCTACTTGTATTAATTTAGCCTATTAACTTCCCATTTCCTTATGTGTTTTCTAACAAGATATATTTTATCTTCATGTCATGTCTATGTATTGACATTACAAAATATCTTTTATTTTATCTTTTATAAGTTTCACTTCTACTATTTATTATTTGAAACCACTCCTTTTAGCTAGTTCTTCCTTATTTTCAGTAATTAAGCCTCTCTTTTATACTGTATGGTAGATTTATGTTCATTCCTATGATTAATAACAGAAAAGTCCAAAACACATTAAGAGATGTTTTTGTCTTTTGAGCGGCTCCCCTCGTGATTTTTTTCTTTCCCTATTTTTGATATCCTTCTTTGAAGTGCCAATTAAAGTTATCTTACAATCTTTATGGAGATATCCATTATGGTGTGCTTTCTTCATAGATTACTATATTTTTCTGTTTGTGTTTATGGATGCATAAAAAATTAAAATGATGTACATGTACACAAAATGGCTCCTTCAATCATTGATCTATTATGGAAGTTTTGGGTGGATGAAATGTTTTAGAGATTATAAGTATCACATTATTCTAATCCTGATTAGGAAATATTAGCACATTTGGTCAAAAATCAATAATAAATTGGTGTGTTAAACCATTATATTTATGTCATTATTCTTAGTGTTTTCAACCTTCATAATACCTATTATCAAGAAACAATGATCATACTGTAACGGAATTTAGCATTTATACTTGCAAAAATATAATATTCAATGAAATAATTTTTTAACTGTAGGGTAATAACTCCAAGGATAAATCTGACTGCCATTCTGAGGTCAAGCGGGAATTTTTTTCCTAGTTTGTTGCAAAATTGGAAAAGCTTCAAACCGTGTTTTTTGCCTTTTTTATGATCAACGTCAAAAAACAAATGTGAGGAAGGCTGAACTTGATGGGCACATGTCTCTTTTCAGCATCGGTCACTATGTAACTATGTAATGTTTCCCACACCGCATCTAAAACAAAGTAAAAAAATGTAGACTGGTACAGAGCCACTTACGCTCCTTTGAGTGGGGAGAATCAGAATCTCGTTATCGGTGAATCCAACAACAGGGTGTCTTAGATCCAAGATTCTTTCTTGTTGCTTCCATTTAATAATAAAAATGAAAACTTTAAAAACTACTCCAGACACGGGGGCTTATTGTAGAGCTTCCCTCTGCCACCTTACACCACCTTACGCCGACTCTGACACTGGTAATGTGAATCTGATAAAAAAAAAAGGTAAAAACTGAAAATCTAAAAACTGCAGCACTTTGATGAAGTTAGGAAACATTGTGTGTATATATTTAAATGAAATGAAAGTGCTTCATCATATCCTTTTCTGCAGACACCCACAGCTACTATCGCACTTAATTGTCATTCCATCTTGATCACTTTTTTAGTGATTAAATCTCGTTGTTCAGGAACGTTTGCGGATTTCTTGCAGTTTTGTGATTACACCCATAGGCAGATATGGGCAACAATAATTATTGTTGATTGATATAAATTACTATATATAATTTCCTTAGGCCTAGTACTGCATGTATCCCAGTCTTTAAGTTCCTTGGTGCTATGTGACTTCATAACTTCAGCCAGATACCTTGATAGAGCACACTCACAGGGCAATACAAATATCAATGTTTCAAACGAGGATTGCTCCCGCCTTGGAGCTTTTCCAAGTATAATGCTTGTTCAAAGGCCACCTGCTAATTCTCTAAGATATATGCTTACCATAAGCTCTGGGAGTTATATGCTGTAAAGAATGCAATGAAGGGGGGCAAGTTTGAATTGCATCCACTTATTTTTCCTTTTCTTCATTTTGAAGTATGCTGTTATTTCACATAAGGCGGCAGAATATGCCATTCTAGCTCAGTGTCTTGTGTCTCATTAAGTGCACATTATCATTATATTACTATATCTACAGGTTAGAGCTATGGAAATGTCACTGCCACAGCACAGGGGATCCCAGGTTTGAGTGCTGGTCAGAACATCTCACAAATATCAATGGGCAACACACCTAATGATATGTACCAGCCTACTTCAAATCCTCATAGATCCACCTTTTCTAAAGAAGAGATAACTATGTGCCTCAATGGATTGAATACTGCTTTGCAGTTTTCAATTTCCCAACTATTTCATTTGTATAATCTGAGAAACAACTATAGTCACACATGGCCCTTAATTCTGACCATTGCTAAGGAAAAAAGGAGAACCTGGTTCCACATATGTGCTGGGTCTCTCCCACGTGCGTCTTGGAAAACTACAAATGGGGATTTGACATAGTAAATAACTTTTCATGAAGTGTGGGTTTGTGGGTCAAAGGAACACTTAGGAACATTAGGAATACAAAAGTGTATTCATAACACTGTCATGTCCCTCTTGCCCTTCTCAAAAACTACAATACTTAACATTGCACTGTTAAGGGAACAGGGACATTGCACCCAGACCACTTCGATGAGATGAAATGGTCTTGGTGCTCATAGTGTCGCTTTGACGTTTTCCCCAGGATAGCTTCTCCTATTTCAGTACCTATACAGTTACTGTTTCTTCTCTGAGAATTGTCCTCCTTACCCAGTCACTGAGTTTTGGTGGACAGACACCTGTAGTTGCAATTGTACCATATTCTTTTAATTTTTTTATTGACTTAACTGTGCTCTGGCATGTTAAATAATGTTGTTGTTTTTTCCATGTCCTGTCCATGATTGGTGTTTTTTTTTTCTTTATCTTTATCCTGGATTGGCTTTGATAGCTTCTTGGTCTTTGTTAATCAGTTGTTTAGATAGGCAGGGGCTTTCCAGTAGTTGGTGTATTTGTTTTGAGATTATGAGAAACTTTAATTGCACACAGGTTAGTTACATTTATATATCGGACGGTTGGAGCAGTGGTAATATAATTACATAGCCTTAGTAACATCACTTACCAGTAACTGTCCCCGAGCAACTGGAGAAAGACACCTAATGATAGATTGTAAGTTTATTCGAACAGTGTCTTCTTCACCTCTTCTCCTTTCTATAATTGCAAAGTGCTGGGGAATATGATGGTGCTCTATAAATAGTATTATTAATAATAGGAGGTTTAGTAATTACATGACTTCTAAAGGTAATTGATTAGTCTCTGTCTTTATTGAGAAGTTTGAAACCAATGAGAGTAAATCCTCATCAACTCTACTCTACACTTACTGCTATATATGCAGGTCCTCAAAATAGTACCATTAATTCAATATCGCAAATAACACACCATTAAAATAATGATTTTTAAAAACAAAGAATCAGCCTTACCCTGTGCATGTCACATAAGGGAGTCTTCCTCTGAAATCACACAGAAATAAGCCCTGCGCTCAAACTCCCAATAATCTTGGGCAGCAGCAATGACTATAGTATTCATTAGTCTAAATATTTAAAGGAACACTATAATGTTACAAAAATGCATTCCTAACACTACAGTGTTTTTCCAGCTGTTTAGATTACCAGCTCCCCCATTTTTGTTTGTGTGTGACGAGTATGTATGTGTCCACGTGAGAGACAGCGCCTGAGTGTTGGGCTGAATTTTCTAGGCGCCTCTATGTATAAAAATAGATCTTTTGTAAATAACACTAAGGCACACAATAATAGGTAAGCACACCATTGAATGAGGGTTATACGGTGAGGTATGTAAATCTTTGTTCAGTTTTTAATGATGTCTTCCCTTCAAACAAGTACTTCTTACCGCAAGTAAACTGAAAGGGCAGGGCGACAGAAACTTATGATTACTTTCTGTCCGTACTCGTAACCGCAGTGTTTTCTGTAGGATTATTATTTGTAGCGGTAAAATTGTCTCTTAACAGAAATGTCTTCTGTAGAACAAAACCCAGCTCTCTCAAGCTAGAGCAAACACAGAAACTCAGCTAGCGTGGGATTGTATTTGCGAAGCATGATGTTCAAGTTATGTTGTAAGAATGCTCCTGTAGATTAACATAAATCTACAAAAATCAATTTGGTATTTCAACACACTTCTGGCACTCAAATATTTTTTTAAGGAGGCAAGCGCAGATTATTTGCTTTTTTATATGCTACTGTTTTGTGATGTTTTTAATCTGATAAATAATTTTATGCTATAATAAATGTTATAAAAAAAACTTGTTCTTTTACACTATAAAGGTAAATTCTGTAAAAATCAAATACTTGATTTCATTTATATTTAGGTATTCATTTGTTTAGTTAATAATCCAAGAACATCTAAATTTGAGATCCAGGTTACATTGAATTTATCATTAAGTGGATTCAGGGGCGGACTGAGAGCCTTTGGGGCCCCCGGGCAAAATTAGATCCCAGGCCCTTTGAAGGCCAAATATATGTGCATTTTAATAAATGTTAAATATAATTCATAATACGGCATTCCTTTGGATGTGTGTATTGTGAAGACCTGTGTATCAATGCATGTTTGTATTTGAGTCTGTGTGAATGCACTTGTGCATGTCTGGATGACTACATGTGCTTTTTTGTATATAGTGTCTGTGTGAATGCATATGTGACAGGTGACAGAGTGTGTGAGGGAGAAGGTGACAGGTGGAAGAGTGTGGGAGGTTGTGACAGGTGGCAGAGTGAGGGGGTACCTGGTGGCAGAGTGAGGGAGGGAGGGGTTGAGTGGTGGCAGAGTGAGGGGGAGACACAGTGAGTGGGGGTGACTGGTGACAGAGTGAGGGAGTGGGTGACTAGTGACAGAGGGAAGGAGAGGGGGAGACTAGTGACAGAGGGAGGGAATGGGAGACTAGTGACAGAGTGAGAGAATGGGTGACTAGTGGCAGAGTGAGGGAGGGAAGGGGTGACTAGTGACAGAGTAAGGGGATGACTGGTGACAGAGTGAGGGGGGGGGGGGTGACTGTCACTAGTCACCCCATCCCTCTCTCTGTCACTAGTTACTCCCTCCCTAACTCTGTCACTGTGTCACCCGCTCCCTCACTCTGTCACTAGTCACCCCCTTACTCTGTCACTGTGTTCACCCCCTCCCTCACTCTGTCACTAGTCACCCCCTCCCTCACTCTGTCACTAGTCACCCCCTCTCCCTCTTCCTAGTCAGTCACCCCATCCTTCTCTCTGTCACTAGTCACCCCATCCCTCTCTCTGTCACTAGTCACTCCCTCCCTAACTCTGTCATTGTGAAGGAAGGAAGGAAGGGGTGACTGGTGACAGAGTGAGGGAAGGGATGACTAGTGGCAGAGTGAGGGAAGGAAGGGATGACTGGTGACAGAGTGAGAGAGGGGGTGACTAATGACAGAGTGAGAGAGGGTGTGTGTGACTAGTGACAGAGTGAGAGAGGGGGTGACTGTCACTAGTCACTCCCTCCCTAACTCTGTCACTGTGTCACCCCCTCCCTCACTCTGTCACTAGTCACACCCTCTCTCACTCTGTCATTAGTCACCCCCTCTCTCACTCTGTCACCAGTCATCCCTCACTCTGCCACTAGTCACCCCTTCCCTCACTCTGTCACCAGTCACCCCTTCCTTCCTTCACAATGACAGTGTTAGGGAGGTGGTGACTAGTGACAGAGTGAGGGAGGTGGTGACTGTTACTAGTCACCACCTCCCTCACTCTGTCACTAGTCACCACCTCCCTCTGTCACTACTCCCTCCCTTCTTCTGTCACTAGTCATCCCCTCCCTCACTCTGTCACCAGTCATCCCCTTCCCTCACTCTGTCACCCCTTCACTCTGTCACTAGTCACCCCCTCACTCTAGTGACAGAGTGAGGGAGGGGGTGACTAGTGACAGAGTGAGAGAGAGGGTGACTAGTGACAGAGTGAGAGAGAGGGTGACTGTCACTAGATCACCCCCTCACTAATCCCCTCCTCCTCTTCACTACTAGAGGTAACTAGTGACAAGTACTAGAGAGGTGACAAGTAGAGGTGACAACAGAGTGAGGGGTGACAAGTGACAGGGGAGGGATAGGGTGACTAGGGACAGAGTGAGGGAGGGAGGGGGTGACTAGTGACAGAGTGAGGGAGGCGGTGACTAGTGACAGTGAGGGGTGACAAGTGACAGAGTGAGGGAGTGGGTGACAAGTGACAGTGAGGGGTGACAAGTGACAGAGTGAGGGTGTGGATGACAAGTGACAGAGGGAGGGAGTGGGTGACAAGTGACAGGAAGGGAGTGACAGAGTGAGGGAGGGGGTGACTAGTGACAG